AGGTCAGACTGACAGCTCTGGAGTTCCCCATTCCTCCTTCCAGCCCTTCTTTCTTGTAGATGGGTGTCACATTTGCAAGCCTCCAGTTGACTGGGACCTCCCCAGTCAGCCAGGACTGCTGATAAATGATGGAAAGTGGCTTGGCGGGCAATTCTTCCAGCTCCCTCAGGACCCTGGGGTGGATCCCATCTGGCCCCATAGACTTGTGTATGTCTAAGTGGTGTAGCAGGTCGCTAACCACCTCCTCATGGATTATAGGGGCTTCACTGTGCTTCCCATTCTTGTCTTGATGTTCAGGGGGCTGGGTACCCAGAGTACTGTTGGATTTCCTACTAAAGACTGAGGCAAAAAAGGATTGTACTTGATCATGTACAATCAAGTTACTCTGTGATTGTCTGCTACAGAATTTAAAGTATTTTCCTCTGAAGGTCTAGCCAAGCACTGGCTGCTAGACTGGTCAGCCTTGAGCCTAGTCCACTATGGTTGCTCATGGGACACAAAGTAAACTTTTAATTTCAGTTTATGTTTCACAATCATGCGCAAGGGGAAAAATACACAGGTGCTTTGAAGTAAGTGTTTTTAAAAAGCCTGTTCACCCTTTAATGAGGCACAATATGTTCCAAGCTTTAAAAGCTGCTTCGAATCACGTAGCTCTTCAGAATGTGTGAGATGGCAAAAGGCAAACTGTTTTTACTATGTAAAATAGGAATTAATGTTACATGCTTTTGTTTGTGTTGTCTTTTGCTCACTGTCTTCTAAAGCACCATTATGTCGGTTCTTTGCAGCTCCTGTTATTTCTACGCCACCTCAGGATGTTCAGAATTTCACAGGCAATGATGTCATTTTTGGCTGTGAGGTGTCAGCCTATCCTATGCCACACCTTGAATGGAAAAAAAAGGGGAGTAAGATGTTCCTGCCAGGAGATGATGCCCACATCTCAGTACAGGTAAAACTTGAGTCTTACACGTCGTATGGTTGAGCATAGGGGCACTAATCAGTGAATTCCTCCTACAGGATACAATACTGTTGCAGTAAATAGATTCCTAATAGGGGCTCTCTGACTACATGAAGAATTCTGTTTTAGTCAGTGCAGGGATCAGTGCTTTGGCCAGTCCAAGCAGAAGAACTAACAGCCACGGTACCATCCAGCCTGCTTCAGGGGAAGAAAAGATGGAGATGCTCCTTACATAGGTATGAATCTGGAAAAAGTGAATGAACATATAAATGGAAACATTTAAGCTACTACCTAAAAGAAGGTGCATTCTGGGAAGTGTGGCTGTTTGCAACGGCTTTTCTACTCTTGATACAAAAGCACAATCCTGGCAGGTATCTGAACTTCTCTTTTGCAAGATGCTGTTTCTGGAGACCTGCTATTCCGGTTCAGTCCCTGATGTGATCAAAAGGAAAGCAAAGAAACTTGCTCATTTTTATGGGGGTACTGCATTTTAATCTGAGGGAAAAGCGTAGAATTGCTTTAGTATAGCCCTCAAGCAAATCTAGAAATAGCCCAAAAGTATAAGCATAAAATTAAATAAATCAAAATGTTAATTCTTTTACGTGGAAATAACATTCTGGAGAGACAAGCTAACACAGCGAGATGTAAAGGCAGACTGCAGTAAGGCTGAAGCCTGCATCCATATGTCTTCTCCACTGGAGAAAATATGAACAGAGACCATGCAGAGAAAGGCATGGCAAATCTGGCTTTCTGGATACACAACCCAAGAGCATAAACACAAGTGTGATTAGTGGACTTAAAAGTTACTCAGAAAAAATCGTTCAAGGAGCCACATCCAAATGCTGGTCACCTCAGAGGCTAAACTGAACCCTGTTAACCTATCTCATTAACAGATTCAGCATGAGAGCATCTCAGTTAACATTTGTTAATGGTTCTGTGTCAATTGTCTGGAAAAGAAAGCTCACTCTTTTAAGAGGCTTTAGCCCAAGCCAGTTGAAACTGATTGTCATGAAGTGTGAAAGCTCATGGTACCTCACGTGAATCCATTACAACTTGGATGCTGAGTGTCAGCTTGGTCAGACCCCTCAGCCCTGAACAACTCACCCAGACCCACGTGCCACACTTGTCCTGAAGAAATTTATGAGCTTGAGAACAGGCAACAATGCTGTGAAGCAGCAGCAAGAAGTGGTACTGACACAAGAGACAAAGAGGAGCACTGGGAAGCAGTAGTATGACCCAGAACAGATATGAGCACTGTGAAGGGCAATGAAGTTCAAAGAGCAGAGATGGGAAAGCATGAATTCAGAACCCATGCTTTCTGGGTTCTGAAACCACCCATCCATGTATGGGGGCTGCAGATACAAACAGAATCAAAGCATGACAGCAGCAAACAAAAAGCAAAGGTTGGAATGATGTTTAATCCATCCACAATTATTTTGAAAAATATCATAATGTCTCCTAGCTAGCTAATTTCAACTCTTTCTTTCTCTTCTCAAAGGCAAGAGGTGGGCCTCAGAAGTTTGGTGTGACAGGCTGGCTGCAGATTCAAGGCCTCAAAAAATCAGATGAAGGAGTTTACATCTGCCACACCAAAAATAAGTATGGCGCAACATACGCCTCTGCAAGATTGAAAGTCATCGATGGTATTGTTTTATTTTTATTTGGATGTAAAGAATACAAAAATGTATACAAGCAGGCTGCAAAAGATGGGTTTGTCAGAATGCAAATGAAGGATGTGAGGAAAAACCTAAAGATTCTATTTCAACTTTTCTGTCTGCTTTTCCTTTACTTTATCCCCTAGCAGGTTAATATTGTAATATTGGTCTTCAAATTATACCAGTTTCCAAAAAACAGAAAGCTGTGGATTATAGCCATACAGCTGAGACACGTTATTCCACTATCCTTATCCTACAGAAGTCTTTTGATGTTAGCGGGAACTCTGCAAACAGAGCAACAGCTGCTGTAGCTGAAGTAGTCCTTGAACCCTGTCAGTTTTGCTTACCTGTTTAATTTTCAACAAGTTAGGAAGAGAACAGTTGTTACTCTCTAATGAGAGCGTTTGGAAAGATGTAAGAAACGGCTTTACTGATGTTCTGCACTGGGCCCAGTCCTGTAGAATGACATCCTTCTTCCTCCGGAGAGAACCGGGGCTCCTAGCAAATGCAAGATAAAGATGCATTGTCTTATATTTGTGTCCTGGTCTAGAGGAGTTTGTCACTGGCCTAGTTTGTGCAAGTGGTTTTCAAAGCTTTATTGGCTCTGCTCATATTTTCAGGTGCACAGGAGTACTGAACTCACAGCTTACTAGGATTGGGAATTAGATGTATTTTCAGCACCTTAAAATGTGAATAATAGAGAAATTTGCTCGTATTTCATGAGCTTCAGTTGTATGAGGTTGCCATCAAGATGACAATCCTCTCCTTTTAATAGATAACCTAAGAAGGATTCACAAACACTGAGCTTGCCATACAGATCCAAACCCATAATTTCCTCTTTATTCCTATTTACAACTAATTTAATCTGGATTCAATTATGTCTTGCAGGCTCATCTGCATTTGCATTTACTGCTGGCAGTAGAAGTGCAAGCTACAGCATTGAATATGGAGATTATTATGACCAGTCTGATGATGAAGATGAGGAAGAATATGAATCTGGGGACTACGAAAATTGAAACCACTCTGAAGAATAATTTTTACACATCCGTTGTCCAATACCTTTCACACTCTGCTACATTTACTAGTAGTCTCTGTGCTGTAAATGGCTCCTCTGGTAACACACGTATTCACTTGTGTATCTGCCTTCCTGGAATTCAACTTTGGCTGAAGTGCATCATGCTACTTACCAGAAATAAGAGCAGTTGTAAATCCATACATTTAGACTGTTAAATAAAATTCTTAAACATGCACCTGTCTACTAAGTATGCTGAAGAGATCAAATTTTATAATAGTTTTAAAAAGGTAAATTGTAATTTCTTTTAAACATTCTGCCTACCAAAAATGCCCATAGTTAAACAAAATTTTTACCTTATATAAATTTCCTTTTTTTTCTATAAGGTACTAAAAAATATCAAGAGATTGTTCACTTGGCAACAAGCTTAAGTATGAAGGCTGCAAAAGAGTCTTTAATCTCCTTAGTTCGTATTTTCTCATAATTTTCAGCAAGATTTTCCTTCTCATTTGAAATTTTCCACAGTTAGTCTCATCAAGGGCCAATTATCTGTCTTTTGGGAGGCTGTTTACTTTTAACAGACACAGGAGGCAATCACAGTCTAAAGCAAGTAAGTGCTGCTTTACCAGCAATACTCAAAAGTACTCAGGAAAGATTTCTTGTGCATTCAAACAGATGAGCACACCCTTTGACTTCTTTTTGTAACAGTTCTTGCACTACTCCTGACAGTGTTGGCTCCTTCCCACCAGCCTAGGCAACAGTTCAAAACTTGGGATCATAATTTTTACTCTGAACAGCATCACATTTGGTAAGAATTACTGCAGTTTAAAGAAGGAGGCTGTTCTGTAGCTCAGTGCATGCCCTTCAAACACAGAGACCTGCACAACAGAGACAGTAATTTGTCCTTTGTCTTGGACTGTCCAAGTCTTGCTCCTGTATCTGACCCATCCATATTATGTCCAACTAAAGTGCATTCAGCATTGCCACACTTCTGGAAATGGCACACAAAAAGCAAGTATCATCTTCTTTCTGAAAACCACCAGCACACATGCACATTTTTCAAACTGTTTCAACCGCTGCACATTTTTCAAACTGTTTCAACCGCTTTTCGATCTGCATGAATGAGACAGCAAACGAAATGCAATTCAAAACCACAAGACTTCAAAGTGTAAAGTGACGGCCCAGTAAAATTTCTCCACTTGCTTTTGTTAACTGATCACATAAAGGCTGGCTCTGCATTAATGGATGATGGAAGATACTAAACGAAAACCTCTTCTGGGAGGCAGTTACACCTATTGGTTCCCATTGGCTGAGGACAGATGAATAGCACTAAATTACCAAATGACATTAATGACTAAGGAAGCAAAAGTTCAGGCATCTGAATGTAAAGCCTCAGTATTTACAGTCGCAGAAAATGCAGAAAACCATGTAGTGATTACTGTCCACACTGAAGTTAACTCGAAGTTAAATTAATGAAGGAAGCTTAAAGAGTAATCTTATTGTATACATACACATATTAAGTAGAGTTTTTTAATCTATATACAGTCCAGCACAAACTCCTCCTTTAATGTTGTGCTGCTTTGTGCTTTTTTGCCATTAGTCAGATTTTTCCTTTCAATTTGAATCACATTAGAAGACTGCCTATAGACTGTCTTTGCCCTAAGGTATTATTGAGCTTTGTCCGGGTACCAGACAAGCAAAGAGTAATTTATTTTGTTCCAGATTTCCTGGAGTATTGTCACCTTATAAGCAGAAAGCATGCCACTATGTCACTGAAAAGATTAACTAGCTTTAATTAGCAATATGGAATGGCTTCATATTTAACCACTGATTTTGTTGTTTCAGGCTCTTCCTGGTCTTCTCTGTGATTTGTTTAAAATATTTTTGCTTATTCACTATAAATAAATTTGGGCATAAAATAGTCTGGAAGAAAGAACTGATTTTTTTTTAAAGTGAGTCTTTGTATGGAACTGTTTAATCTGCAGACATATGTTCAAGATCAATTGTGATCTGCATTGCAAATTAATGAATTAGATTACTAAACCAGTGGCTACATTGTGGCAATATATTGGCACAGACTAGTACATGGCACAGAAAATAATCCTGAAACCATTAGCCATTGAAATAAATTCATGCATTGAAATGCATTGAAATGCATTTGTCTCTGTATTTTATTACACATTTAATAATTTGTTGTAAACTATCAGCCATTCTATTCAGTAAGAAAAATCCTGCTTTGATGCAAAAACAGAAGGAATGCTGATACCCTGAACTTTGCCAGTTATTTTTTGGGGGGGACAGAAATGGCTGGTTTTGTTAATGTGCTTTTATCAAGTCACTTCAAATTAAAAATAAAATCATGGAGAAGATTCAGCCCTCTCTAAGCAGCGTGGCAAATGAACAGACCTCATTGTGAATGCATTGCCTGTAGCAACAGATCCATTCACATAATCCAAAGTAACAGCAAATTCAGGAAGTTGGTTTTATTCCACCTAGAAGAAAATGAGACAGACTTGAGCTGGAAACTGTATATTAATACTGCAAGTATGGCTCAGTATTGTACCTTGTCAGGCATATCTAAAACCCCTCTTTAATTCAACTTCCACTGAACATAGCAAGAATTTTGTTGCTGTCTTTCAAGGAAGTCAGTCTGAATTTGACAGGACAAATTCCTCCTGACAATGCCTATCACACAAGCAACTTCATGTGTCATTCCCCCCCCATGTAAAAATAAAGGAATTGCATAAATGTTTCTAAAGAAATTACACCCCTTACTGCAGCTTTGTCCCTTGGTCTGGGACTCTGACATAGTCTGGGGTAGTTTCACAATCTTACATTCTTACTTGCTGTGTTAAATGTCAGGAGTTTTATCAAGTATTAGTCTAGGAATCCATTAATTCTTAAGCTAGACCAATTTTTTCCCCTTAAAATAATCAGGCTATAGTTAACAGAAATCGGATACAGAAATGCAATTGCCTGCATCTGAGAGATTAAATGATTCAACTGATGATTAACTACGGTACAAATAGTCACAAGGCTGCACTGTGCAGCTGAGCACACAGCAGAGCCTGTGCTCACCTACCTCGTGGTCCAAGATCTGTGCTCTCACCCTGCCTGTGCTCATCTGTTGACACAGAAAGGAGACCCAGTCTGGAGGAAAAAGGGTGTTTCTGGCTAAGAGGAAACACAATCACTCACGCTTACCTGCCAATGCTGTCCATAGATTATGCTCAGCTCTTGAACTATTTAACTCATTAACCTCGTTTCTGCATGTCTTTGCATAGCTCAGCGGGACAACTTCGGTAATGGCCCATCACCTGGAGCAGGATACAGTGTCATTGCTAGAGCTGAAACTGTGCTCACAGGGTAAAGGTCTTTGAAGGATACGCAAGAGCTTCCTCTAACGTTTTCGACCTGTACTAGCAAGCTCCTTATGGCTCTTCAGACAGTTTGTAACTGTATCGCATCAGAAAGACTCCCACAGCTTCCACACTATAATTTATGGCTGACTTTACTCACTCCCAAGCCACCATTTCATTCCCTACTCCTCATTCCACATTTTCTTCGGTGCTACCAGGCTTCACATGGGAATTTTTGCAATGTGGACAATGAGGCAGCGAGAAGACATGAATAAACTTACACAAACTGCTCTGGCCCTGGATCATCTGTTAACCAGAATAAAAATTACATCAACTACCAATCTCCATGGAGTTCAGAGCAGAGGAGGTCAAGGCAAAATTTCTTCCTACCATGTTAAAACATCAAACAGCAGTGTGCCCAACAAAAATATCAAGCTTTTTGTCTGCAATATTCATAAATGCTGTCAGTTGGCTCCTGCAGCAGTCCTCGCTGCCTCCCTCCATCACACTTCATTTCATTGTTCCTTAATCCTCCTTCCTCCCTGTGCCAATGACTCCAGAAGTGTCTTGAGAAGCCTAAACTAATACACGTTGCTGAGTCTTACAATGGTCTGTTTGGGCCCATGCTATACAGTACCACTGCTCACCTTTAGCAGAACAAGGAATATAGAGATGCTTCTCTTGCTCTGGCCTTTCTTAGGTTTCTTCATTAGTGACAAAAGCTTATCGCTTTATGATTGGAAACATTGCAGTGTTGTACACGTACGCAGTCTGTGACAGGCTCTGTAACCCACACCACCCAACCTCACCAATTTCTGCCCAAGACAGCAGCTCACATACCTCCAGTACCACCTTTTAGAAAAATGACAACTCTTGATCTAGTGACAGGGAATACACCATACTTTGGTGTGAGTTATTCCAGCAGACAATTGACAGCATTGCTTATTTCTGTTCTGAACTTTTCCAACTTCAGTTTATAGTGGTCAGAATCAATTATACCTTTTCCTTTGAAGTCAGGAAGCTGGCTGCACGAAGATGTCTTTTTCCCAGATACTTGTAGATAATGTTCAAGTCACTTTGTCCTTAACTTGGATAAGCTCAACACTGACTTTCTTCTGTCTCTAATTTACATTGTGTGTTTTCCTTACTAACCCTGAATTATTCCTTTAACTTTATAAAAAGAATATCTTAGATAAGATTCTCTCTGCAGTGCGTGAAGCTAAGAAATAAAATATCTATGTTAATGTTGATATCACAGGCTCCGCCTGTTATCTGAACCTGTGGTCAGCAAACATGGGACCCATCTCACTCAACTGGAAACTGAGACAACTCTTCTCTAGTTTCTCCACTCCTTTATAGGCACCTGTAGAGGAGGATTCCCCCCCTTTCTGGGATAATGTTTCCTTCAGATGCAGCTGTAACCACCTAAGCACCATCTCTTTGGCCTTCTGGACTGAAGCAGCATTCTTGGGTTTTTCCACTCTCAGCAACCTCCCAGCACTTTCCAGAGCAGAATGAAAGTCCCAGTGGCTGCCCAGATCCAAAAACCACCTTTGCACCACAGGCTTTGGTTTGGATCTTCTAAAAAGCACAGATAGAGCAGCATCACACTGGCTTGGGCCATTACTGACTCTTGATAAGGAGGAAGTTCTTTACTGAGAGGGTCGTCAGAAGCTGGAACAGGCTGCCCAGGGAGGTGGTGGAGTCACCATCCCTGGATGTGTTTAAAGAGCGGGTAGACGAGGTACTTAGGGATATGGTTTAGGGGGTAGACAGGAACGGTTGGACATGATGATCTCGGAGGGCTTTTCCAACCGAGCGATTCTGTGTGTGATTCTGTGTGTGTGTGATTTATAAATGTAGGAAATTAA